CCCCCCGCTAAAAATTACGTGATTTGTGTACGGGCCCTTGGTGATGAGGAGTGCTGTGGATTACTGACGTCACCATTCTCCTCATTGCACAGCTGTACCGGCCCAACGCGGTCTTCCCCGAGGGGGGCAAGATGAGCAAGGTGCTGGACGCCCTCAAGCCGGGCGACACCATGGACGCGCGCGGCCCCACCGGCCGCTTCTGGTACCAGGGCCACGGCAAGCTGGCCTTCAAGCAGCGCAAGTGGGACGAGGGGCCGACCGCCTTCCACGAGGCCAAGAGGATCGTGATGCTGGCGGGCGGCTCGGGCATCACTCCGATGCTGCAGCTCGTCAAGCACGTCCTCAAAGACCCCACGGACGACACGCAGCTCGAGCTCCTGTTCGCCAACAAGTCCGAGGAAGACATCATGCTGAGGGACCAGCTCGACGATCTGGCCGCCAAGCACCCAAAGCAGTTCAAGGTCTGGTACACCGTGGACAAGGCTCCTGAGGGTGAGTACACTGTTGAACAAATTTTGATTGTAAATTTCCACGCAAGACGTCTGGAAACAAATTTTCCCCCATTCAACTCAGAGAAGTTGGGACAGTTCTAATTTTCATCAAATAAAATTAGAACACTTTTCTGGGGGCTCTTAAAATCCTAACATTGTTCGGACATTGTCCAAACTTTAGTCCTCCTCCTTTGTAACTCTTTGGAATTTTTTTGTTGGAAAATTACAATTTTCTACTGCAGTGAAGTAGTTGCAAAGCTCATTGCCTAAAGAACTTCAATGATTTCCCATTGCTTCCTGTTGCAGGCTGGAAATACAGTGAAGGCTTCATCAACGCTGACATGATTAAGGACCATCTTTCCCCTCCTTCTCCTGACACATTTGTTTTCCTATGTGGTCCAAAGCCTATGATTGAGAAAGCCTGCAAACCTGCCCTAAAAGCTCAAGGATTCCCTGAAGAACGTATTCACAAGTTTTAAGTGTCCTAATAATGTTAAGTATTAAACTAAACAGAGCTGTGATATAAGTGTATACATAATGAACAAAACTTCAATAAACAAAGAAAATACTTTAACAGAGTTTGTGGTGTACGTTTTTGTTGGTCCCATAAACTGAATTTTACGATTTTTCAACTCATGAAAAAATCCTGCCTATGCCAAAGCCTCATCATTAGCTCAGTTGGACAAGCTTTCGACCCGGGCTGCAGCGCGTCGAGGAGGTGGACTTGACCCGACCTGAACGCGTGCAATACGGCAGATCAACACCCGTAAAGGAGGACCGAGTTCTGACGTTGCCGTGAACAGGAGCAGGCGACAGCTGGGTGGCGAGCGCGCCGGGCTGTGGTCCGGAAACCGTCTGCTCGGGGATCGAATCCCAGCCGTGGAACTTTTTTCCCG